AGCAACAGTTCAACGGAACTCGTGGGACTACTTGGGGGTATATGATTCTGAAACATATTGGAGTGACACCCAAAGCTAGCACTGTAAGCTGATTTTCAGCAATGATAATGCTGTGATTCACAATTTGTTTCCATCAAAATGCATGTAATTATTTTTCGGCATGATAACAACGGTGTGGAGCCCAAATAAGACCTCAATAGTAAATATTTGGGTTATTCCTATAGGACAGGTTAACCAACACTCCAGACTTTACACCACAGTGCATGAACTAGAGGCATCATTGATGAGGAACTGATAGAACACCGGCATGGATATCATTAGAAATCATATACAGGGTATACAAAGGCGTGTAGAAATTTAAAAACGGAACGATCAACACAGTTGGTATGAGACTGGGTTCGATCAGCAAACTGAGCAATTAGTCGACTTTCATAGATTACGCTGACTGGGACATGTGCTGCGCATGCCACCAGATAGGTTGTTACGGCGAGTGATGTTTGCCGAGGCAGGTAGCTATTGGAAACAGATCAAGGTAGGTCAAACGAAGATCTGGCATGTGGGTATGAAAACCCTAACCAGGAGACTGGGTCACATAGACCCCGTTAGTCTTCCTGGTCGGGGACTCTGAGATCATGACCTTCGGTGGTCAGAGATACTGAGCGATATGGCTGGATGTCGCAAACAGTGGCGCTCATGCGTCTACTCATTATTCTCGTAATATTAATCTATATAAGTTCTCTATCTTCCGCTTGAATTTGCTTTCAACATTCGAATCTTCATTCTGCTCTTTTATCCAAACGGGCAACCTAAAGATTGCAACAAAACCGGCGAACGAAAGTGCATGGTTAGTGGTTGTAAGAACTGAACTGATCAGCAAAGTTCAGAGAACGGTTCAATACTGTTGCCCGATGAAAATACCATTTTTTTGATATATCTTAGCTAAAGGAATTTCGTTTTCAACTTTCCATTTGGTCCAAGTCTATGTTCTCAAAAATGCTGATGATCGTGCACGTGGGAGCAGTGATGATCCACAAATCTGAGGAGAGGAGGGGGGGGGGTTGCAGTATTTTTGTTGTATATGCGCACAGTTATTCCGGATACGTTTACCTGAAGAGCGGCAAGGATAATGAAACTGACCGTATGCTTCTGGTTCATTTTTCCCAGTCATTCATATATCATCTATTCTGTTATTGAGCAAGTTTAAATTTCACAGGAACGAAAGAAAATAGCGTGTGAATTAGAGTTTTTATTTGATCAGTGAATAAACCGGATGTAAAAAAGAGTAAACAAGAGTTTGTTGATCAGTGAGGCCTTTGAAACTTATCCCATGTACAGTTGAAAAGACCTTTGAAGAGAAGAATGTTTGCAATTATTCATTATTTTCCTTTTTCATTTTACTTCCCTTTATTGAATATACAAAGATACAATTTTCAGGAAGGGGGAAGCGGCCAATCAAATGACTGTCATTCAACACAGCGAGGAAAGTCAAGCAGTGGTGGTGGGTCTCGAACACACATACCTGGGGTGATCATTTGGTGTCGTTGCCACCGGGCCACCACAAGCTTCTAAATTAATATTTGATCACAGAGTAGCAATAAAAGTTGTGATTCACAAAATAAACTGGGGATACAGAGGTCGGATAAAAACGACGTATTGTCATGATCATTCAGTCTTCGTTAGCTTCTTTTTAGTAACGGTTGATGTCATTTCGTCGGGTTTCGATAACCTCAAGATGACAATAGTCCACTTTGGTTTGCATAGTTCAGAGTGGCGGATCCGAATGGTTACCGCCTCAGATTAACCTCAGTTGTTTAAGCAGATTCATCGAAGTTCTGTAGATAACCTTACATGACCCATCAGCATCTACTGTATGCTCTGTGTATCTTAGTTGTCCTTTTATCAACCATGAAGGATGATGCTCTTGAACCCGTTTGGTTACCTACCGACTGATAAGAGCAATTAAATCGGCTCCGCCGGAGCAAGTGAATTGATAAACCCATATGGAGTGTGTGACAATCGATCCTAAAGTGCCCTGGGGGAAAAATCAAATTGAAAACAGTTAAATGCTTAGGGTCCCATTTATTCACTTAAAGTGAACTCCTCTCTTGAGATATTGATACACTGACAGACGGAGGATAACAAATACTGTTCACAAAAGACCCCCAACAGGCCATAGACAAAACCCGTTATTCTTGCGCCTCAGCATTGCTAATTATGTTAAACTTTGCAGCTTTCATAAACTGATGTCAGTTATGGGGTGTATTTTTGTCTACAGTGATTATTATCCTCAGCACTTTTATGTATCCACTTCTTTTGAATAGAGTTCATTTGTGAATGCAAAACAATGTACTGTTTATGCTACACTTGAGATTTTTACTCACAGGAGTATCGCATGTCCTACAGAAACATTGAAGCTGTACGAGATGTGTCAAATGGTTTGCCGATACGGGCACAGTGGTTAAACTTTCTCCAATCAACATGTGTTGCAGCACGCAACCCCCACATCCTCTTATTTCTTAACGAAGCTTCGCAACATCAACATGTGTAGAAAATAAATGTTTTTAAACATCCGTTGACTTCAGAATATATCCGTACTTTTCATCTGACTAATGATTTTGTGTCGAAGGTCTACGGCAGGACTACGAGTCTTGGCTAAAGCATTGACGGCTTTGGCCAAAGGAATGTAGGTCAAGGTTAAAGGACTGCGGGTTTTGCCTAAGGCTTGAAGGGAAAAGATAGGAATTTATCCCATATCAATTCCAAACAAACTGTGTTGCTGCATTCGACACTTTCCCAGTACATCAAATCAGGAGGCACCACCTCACCAATTCTCTTTCCTTATTTGTCAAGTTGCACAAAAGATAACGGTTAAAAACCTCGACTTCCGGCATGTTCTCTACAATAAAACTCTTGGTTTGTAACCCTGAAACACGATTGTATGCACTTTGTCAACTTCTGTGAAAAGACAAGTCCCGATCAGGGAGATTTCAGTCTAGCGTGCACCGACTGGAACTTGGAGACAAGGATGATCACTCCAAACACCGTGCTTTCGTTTTTAATCATGCAACTTTATAGACCAAAGGTAATTTGATTTGTTTCCGGTTATTCATTGTTTAATTTGAAAGGAATAAAATTGGGGGTTGCATATCATTAGGGTACCATCTGAATCTTGTTCCAAATGAACGAACGAATCTTCAAAGGCAAATGGATCCATTCAATATTTTGATGGATTGCTTTTAGTGTTTTCAAAATATTTGTAATTTACCTGTCTGATCACACAAATTCCAATAAAATATCTCCGATGCCTATGGTCATCAAAATAGTGTTCTTAATAAATTTGTTAAGACCGAATTCCAACCGCGACGCTAGGCCCAGTAGTTTCAGGGGCCCGTAACCCAACACAAGAAATCAGAACACACAAGGGAGCGGGCCGATCGGAATCGGGCTATCGAACGAGCGTGAGAATAAATCAATCGATTAAACGATGGCCTAAAACTAGGTCAAGCTGGCTCACGGACGAAATAAATGGGAAGAGCATTAGTCAGTGTCTGTCATGAGCAACTGTATCACGTGATTGGACGATGAATGGGATCAGTGGAGGTGCGTATTTAGCAAAATTCATTTTTAGCATTTATCAGACACTTTATCAGGTTACTTCGCCTGCACTGATGATGTCACCTCGGCTGGTAATGAAACGTTTGCAAACAAATTGCCAAACTCGGTGAACAGGCGAAACGAAATTCAGTTCACCCGAACTACGAGAACCGATTTTCAATACTTTGTCAACATACTCATTTATTTTAACTGGGCCGTTTTCTGAATAAATGGCCCATCAGAATAATACATCCTCAACTATACCTTTTTCATGTCAAGTTGTCCCAGTATCATATCATGTTATCCGGGGATCATTTCAAACTGTCCCCGGATTATTTCAAGCTGTCCTGCGATTATTTCAAGCTGCTCTATAGGATGTATACCCAAATAGACAGCCGAGGAGGATGAACAAATTGTAGACTTTAGTGGATTACATCTAGTGCGTATACACCTCAAGTATTCGTTTCTTCTGGTTTTTCATTCCTTTTGTTGAATAAAGAATAAAACAATTTTCATGATGGGGGTAACGACCATTTAAGGGGCTGTTATACAGTTCAGTTCAGTTCTCACAGCGATTAACCAGGTACTTTTGTGCACCGGTTTTTGGCTGCCCATTTGAATGATGCAGTAGGAGAAAGACAGGAAGGTTGAAAGTAGAGTAGAAGAAAATATGGAGAATTTCAATGGTCTAAGTTTTCAAGGAAAGGAGGGGATGCACAAACTACATTGTTTACGACACTCAAACATTTCATTCAGTGTTTCTCACTAGCGGCTACGATCACCGCGCCGTGGTATCCCAAACAACGTAATCCATGGAGGTCGATCACTTTCTCCAGTGGACGACCGCAGTTACTTAAAACTCTGCACCTAACCTCAGCCTTACTTATGCGGTTGCCTCATCAGATTCGTAGACAGTGTTGCTATACAAGACACTGTGGAAGGTAGTCGGTAATAGTGGGATTCACACGTCCTCCGCGGTGATAAGTTCGAGACGTTAACAGCGGACCACCACCGCTGTATTTAGTTATATAAATACGGTTTGCACATAACTTTGGAAGCCACCGATTTTTAACCGTACCTAATTTCGACAGGACCCAATGATTGATTTTTCCCGATTGATTGTCTACATTTCTTGAATGCTGGCGAAAACAGCTTCAATAGCTGATGAATAAGCAGCTCACGGTGTCCTAATCATAACAAGCCCCAAGATTTCCATCATCTAGAATCTTCTCCATTTTTAAATGGAGTGAATCATCGACCACAAAATGTTTCAGTTTTGAGCGAAGTTGTACATTATAAAATGCTGCTGAAGCGGGTATTGAATCACTTAGAAAATATCATATGAAAACCGTGCTCTAGGAATGACAGATTGGTTAAATTTTTCTGTTACAATATTCCATCATTAGGTAGTAATGGTTTTTGGTGGTTGGTGCGATGGAGAAGGACCACGAGCTGCTGCTCAGGTATACAACCCTCGTGCGAACACCTGGACCTTGTGGACTGAAGCCGGGCCGCAAGCTCAAGCTCCGGCACATGATTGGATGGAATTGGCCAATCAACAAGTGGCGGCCGGACTGCAACAACAAGAGCAGCAACAGACACTGACTACGGGAACGTCCGCAACTGATCCGGTAGGCGCTCACGCTCTCAATATTTTGGACACCTTGCCGAACAGGACGAGTCAGACGGAAGCATCCGCGTTGGAAATGACCAACACACTCAATGCCTTACGGGCCTCACTTCAACCAGATGGACCGGAAATGAATATTCTGAACAAGACAGAAACACAGTTCATAGAATCAGCTGGAAGTCTCATTGGAGAAATTCCGCGACGAGTGTATGCCGGATGTGTTCTGATTGGCACACGCGTCTACCTGGTAGGTGGATTCGACGGAACGAACGCACTGAAATCGACTTTGTGCTATGATTATGAAATCGATTCTGGATGGTAAGCTGATTTATCGTTACTGTTTCGCGGCTGAAACATAATACAAAGCGATTTCTATTCAGACTCATGAGAATCTACCTCAACGTGTAAGCTTAAAATAACTAAATGATGTGTGGAATAGTTCTACACATCATAGTATTTTATGGTTTATGCGGTTAAGGCACGTTATTATTTTAATCCCTGTTTACTGTGGTCTTACTGTGTTACGTTTGCATTTCCAACTGTGTAGTCTCGGACTTGTAGCCCGTTAGCAAAGTGGAACAACGGTACGGAAGGTAGGATAGGTTTATTATGGCTCATTCACAATCACTCATGTCAAGCGTATGATTAACAAAGCAGCAAAGGAGCTAACAGCCAATCGGGATCGGGCCCATGTGGGCCGGCATCATTGGCATGGTTAAATGCGTGGGGTTGATCGACCTGAATAAATATCAATCGATAACGTCTGTGAAACAAGCAAATTAACGATGCGCATGTTGGCAGAACGTACGCACTTAAGCCGCAGGCGCGTATGTAACACGAGTTGTTTTTCCGGGGCAAAGAAATTATGTCATGGTTTACAAATTTTCCAACCGCAAAGCGGAATACTACAAACCGCGGACACATACAACCTAGCTTTAAAGAAGAGTTGAAATAACCAGACCGGGTTCCGAACAGGAAATAAGAAGCTTGTATTTGTTTTCTATGGATTACATATTGAACACGAAATGACTCCACAGATATTCATCACAGGCTGGTGTTCAAGTCTCCGGCGTTGATCACAATACCGATCTTCGGTATCTGTATCCGGGCTGTATTCAATCAAGAACCTCCAAGGTGAATATAGGCAGTCGTGCAGTATTTGGGCAACCATATGAAAGTAATTGACTCTTCTCAAGAAATCAGGTGTTGGCGTGATTCCTAACCAAAACCTGGTTTCAGCCTTATCAATAAGAATGATTTCCAGTTAATCAAGAATGGAAGCAGCCCTAAATTCCACCAAAAACAATAATCCTTTTGGAAGAGTGAATTAGCTTTGACAATTAACTGGCAGTTTCAATCCTAATTTCGTTATCAGTAATTGTATACGCAAATATCTTCCTGCACTCTTGGTTGGCTTTCCCTCCGAAAGCTGATAGAGCACCGTCATGCTTACCAAAGACCAATGATCAATACATTTTTAGACATTCGCGCGGCCTTCGACTCTGTCGATAGGACTACACTATGGAACTGTTTGTTGGGGAATGGAGTACCTGGGAAGTATGTCGATCCACAAAGAGTTGTATAGTCATACCACATGTCGGCCTATGGCCAACTTTCGCCACCATTCGCCGTCTGCAATGAAGTTCGACAACGTTGCCCTATATCCTCATTCCTTTTCAACTTTGTCCCAGAGGATGTTCTTCAGAATGCTTTGGTCGATCTAGCAAACGAGAAGTTGAACTCCTCCCCGGGAACAGAGTCCTTGACTTGGAATATGACGATGACATCGCCTTGCTAGGTGACAACACACAGGTAGTCCAGAACGCTTTGAACCGCTTGGCAATATCGGTAACAGGTATGGTATGTGCTTTGCACCTTCCAAGTGCAAAGTGCTTGTTCAAGACTGGCAGGATCCTGTGCCTGCACTCACCCTCTGTGGTGATCAGCTGGAAGTAGTTGACAACTGTAAGTACTTCGGGAGCTTGATCACAGTTGGTCTTGGTGTTGAGGAGGAGATAACATCACGAAAAGCGAAAGCTAGAGCAGCTTTCGCCAACATGCGACACCTGTGGCGCCGTCATGACATCTGACTAGCCCTTGAGAGAATGGTGTATATCACCACGGTTCGTAGTGTTCCGCTTTACGGTTGCGAGACCTGGCCTCTCCGCAAAACATGCTAATCGATTTTCCGTATTTGACCACCGACGCCTTCGAAGCATTGCTCGTGTCTAGAGGAAATATCGCCAGAGTAATGAAGAAGTTCGTTATCGTATGCTGAATAAATATAGTCGGTTGGTTGGTTGTTCCAAATATCATTAAAAATTCTGACTTTCCGCCCGAAGTGTCCACAAAACAAATATGACCATCTCCCATCTTATCATTGCGAATGGGAGCGTTAAAGCCAAAAAAGATAAATTTTGATTGGCAATGGAAGGATAAATCTGTTCGATGGGTAAAGTTCGGACTACTAATTAATTTTGCGCTCTGAAAACCCATTCTGTGTGGTATCATTGTATTGATGCACCAGTAACACGTGAAAACAGTGGAGTATTCGGTTTCGGCCATATGCTGACAATAAAAATAAGTCTTCGAAGAAACAATGGTACCCAGCAAACAATGCATTGGTCTTTCCTGTCCCTAAACCATTGGAGTTCTATATGTAATATGCTCTTTGGTCAGGACTGGCATGTTCAGCGAGTCCGGTGCACCACGTCGTTGAATCGAGCCTCAGGATCATATGACTGACATTCCTGAAGTTAGTTCCTACCCTCTCAAGAGCATCATATAATTGATCAATTAATTAGTTAAATTAAAATCTCCACAATTCACATTGTTTTCTTAACCTTTTATCATTCTATGATCAGGTATGAAATAAGCTGCATGTACGAAAAACGATATTACGTCAGTGTGGCCTACGCATCCAGTCACATATACGCACTGGGCGGTCACAACGGTGAGAACCAGGGACGCCTGGACACGGCGGAGCGGTATACGCTGGAGGAAAATTTGTGGCAAACTATCGCCTCAATGAATCGCGTCCGAAGTGATGCGGCTGCAGCGGAACTCGGCGGACGAGTTTATGTGGCCGGCGGTTTTGAGGGTCGACGGTATCACGATTCCGCAGAGTACTACGAACCAGACACAAATCAATGGACTTTGGTCAGTCGAATGCATTCACCAAGAGGAGGAATCTCCCTGGCCCAACAAGGTGGTTTTCTTTATGCGATTGGTGGAAACGACGGGAATAGTCGTTTAAGAACCATCGAGCGATATGACATGAATGAGGGTAAATGGGAAATTGTGGGTCAAATGAACAGACGAAAGAGCAATTTATCATCAACTGTGGTGAATGACGACATATACATTTTGGGTGGTTGGTCTGACGAGCCGGAGGCGGGTATTCTGGATTTGGTTGAACGATTTGATACGACCACGCGGGAATGTCACATTGTTCGACCTCTTACGTTTCCGGCCAGTGCGACATGTGCCTGTACTTTGAAAGATCGAAATCTGGTCAAAAAGTATATTCGGCCGTTACCGGTCTCCAGTTCTTCTACCTCAAGTAAGAGAACTGATCTGTTGCCACTTTTTCAAATGTATCATAGGGATATCATCCGTTCAATTGTTTTGCCAGATGCATTTCATATATATATCTTTTGGTGAAGGAGAAAGGCGAGCTTTACTTGATTGCATTTACTGTGATGTTTCGATCCAGACGAGGAATAGTTGTCAAACGATAATGTGCGTGAATCAATTGTATCTGCTTGTACATCGCGCTGTGGTTTGCGTCACACCTGTTTGTCCTTCAATCCCGCATTCCTCATTGGTTGTACAATCGTTGCGTAATATTCATCGATTTCCACGTGTCGATTGAAGGAGTTGATCGAAAGCAGCGCTTATCTCTTCCTCATTTTCCTTGCCACTCGTCGCTGATTATGACCTCGTGACCTGTCATTGCTCCGTGGTTCCAGAGGTGTGACTTCGGGTCAGAGCGTCGTAGTGCAAGTGTGTGTTCGTTTCAGCCAGTGCCCAGTTGTTTGCCCGTCTCTCGTAACTTGAGTCTCCGGTTAGGCACAGAATTGCGCACATCAACCCTGAGTGGTCGTATCCCTTTGAACAAAAGTGACCACAGTGTTGTTGTAGTTTTGTGGGTAATGGTAACACCCAGAGGGGAAAGGATGCGATCGATGACTTATAATACCCCTCATAATTATGGTAGTAAGATTTTCATTTTTTTCTTTTCATCCTTAGGTTTTCTCTATCTCCTAAGGCATGATGAGACGAAACTTTTGGGGGTATCGATTGGTGCGGAACTGATGGAACAAATGAATTCGTTCTTGATGCCCGAGTTCGTTTGTGTTGCAGCTTCCAGCTGTTTCATCACCGCATTAGCTGGTTGGTCGGAGATTGGTAATCCCATTTGGGTGATTTTCATCTGTCGATACTTATATATTTATTTATATGTCACACACATCTGACGCCAGACTGTGTGCCAAAAAATCATGGTACAATACTCTTTATAAAAAGGAAAAATGTTCCGTGATTTGCATGTGGACTGAGTACTGTTGGTTGCGCAGGCCAAAGCAGGTGATTTTTCTTGAGGAATCCACAACCGAAGCCTTCGGCTAACCAGAGCCTGACTCCCAAGGCCGCGGGGCGGGGTGAGAAAACCGCAATCCATTGGAGGCTGGTGTCCAGTTATCAGATCATGCACACTTTGGACTGGGTCAAACGTCCAAGATGCCCAATACACCTCGACACTCAATCTAGTCGGTAACCACAACTTTCACCAAGAAGGTGTGGGTTTGTATTTTGCACACCTTTTCGTTTGGTTCTGAATCAGTGTTTTTGGCCAACTCCCCTATGCGAACTACCTGTGGTCCATCAACCCGTTTATAGCCCCGGATGTCGTCTTTTCGTCCTCTCACTTTGGTGGGAAAACACCTCCGCTACGAGAAGGCAGTGAGTACGACTTCCTCATCAGAGAGCAACAGAGACACTTGGTCGTATGGGATCATTTCGCGAGGTTCAGCGGAAGGGCAACCAGTCGATATATCCTCCCGTCAAACTGTAGATATGTTTTCATGCAATATATGTGTATATGTATATGTGTATGTATATACAGACAAATATATATTTATGTATACACATATACAGTAGAAACCCGGGGTGATAATGTAAATATTGATAGTTTTTAGCATGAAACCTTGCTGAGTTGTCTAGTGATACCAAAGATCTAATAAAAAAAATACTAAAAATTGATGACTTTATAGGCTGGTATCAATTTTTCGATGTCAGATCTGCAATGTTTTGACTTATGTA